CTATTTATAATTTAATTATTTATTAATAAACTGTTAATTTACAATTAGTAAGTTCTATTTAATAAATTATAATTATTAAATAATATATTTTTGATAATTAAAATAGATTTATTACTTTATGAAAAAAATAAGGAATTAGGAATGTAATAATTTATTATTAAATTAATGGTTATTTTAGTTCCTTATAAAAATTTTTTAAGATTTATTAGCTTAAAGAAAAAGCACTAGATTAAAGGGTAAAAAGAATTAATATACTCCGATTCACATCCATAATTAATAATCGAATTTATATCTACAAAATGATTTACACTTATAGAATTAAAACTGGAATTAGAGCAAAAATAATTATAAATTTATCAATAACTTCATTTCAAAGCCATCAGTAGTAGTTAATTTATTGCAATCATTGGCTTTATACCGTAACTTGGATCGATATCCAAACAAATGCAATGTTGAGTGAACACTTATTTAAATTTTTTTTGACAAAAATGAACTTAACCTATCTAAAAAATTGTTATTGATAGTTAAGATATTGAGCTTTTTATCTTCTGAAAAATTTGATTTATTAATTAACTATCTTAAAATACAATAATATTTACACAACGAGACGTATAATTCTTATTTCCATTTTACTGAATATAAGTCTCTACTTGGAGTCAGTGCTGCCAATGACTATAATCTAGGATGACTTAGATTTAAGGATCCAATTGCCACAGTATTTAATACTATGTTATAGAGTAGGAAATAGAAGCATAAGCTATGAAGAATACTGATACTAACAAATATATAAATTTTGATATATCTTAGGTATACATTTATTTATTATACTATTTAACATTAATCACAATATGCACCTGGTCAAATCAATTAAAATATAGAAATGAGAAATCCTTTTTTTATTATAACCTTTTCATTTCATCATTAAAAGATATTGGTAGTCAAATCAAGTTCTTTCTAATCATTAATAATTGTTCTAATTAAAATCTATGAATAATTTCTTTAATAACATATTTTAAAGATTAATGGAGATTTTGGCTAGTATAAAAAAAAATAAAATTTGAAGAAAAATGTATCTATTTGGAATACGGATAGATAAAAGTCAAATATTTCGAGGCTCTTGTGAGAGAAAAACAGGAATTCATAAATGAGTGAGTCGATGCATAAAAAGATTTTTAGAAAAAAGCTAAGTTAATTTAAACTTTAAAATTAAAGAGCTTTGGTTAAGAATTTTATTGGATTTCTTTGGAATCAAAATACAGCAAAATATTGCATACACTAAATAAGAACAAGATTGGAATTAATTAAGAGCTCAATCCTCTGAACAAAGAGCATTTATTATAAAAATTTATTTATTATTAATAAGAGAAATGATTAATGAACGATATAAAAGATATTTGAATGTTTTAAAAGCAATAATCTTTATTGAGCAAAATGAATATTAAAAATAGTATCTGAATGAAAACGAATAAGAAAAAGTTTAAGTAATTAGTATGATAAAAATATTCAAATACCAGTTAAAATTTGAAAATAAAATTTAAACTTAGTTGGAAAATTAATGTATATTTGTTTATAAACTAAAATTCCTTATAAGGGTCTAAAATTTTTCTAAAAAAGTATCACCTACTTGAATGCCTTTAGATCCTTCATTTTTAGTTTAAATAAAATGCTATAAATTTCAATTATTTAAGTTCCCATATAATCAAATTTTAGTTTTAAAAGTGAATATTTCTATAATTTATAAAAACTGCAATTAATTTAATAATATGATTTCTTAAACATAAAATTAAAAAGAATATTTAGATTCTATGAATTGGAATATTGGCACTAAATTAATTGAAGTTAACAAGTGGGATTCAAACAAATAGAGACTTGTTAAGGCAAAAATTCAAGTTACATTCACCTAAAAAAATTTAATCATTTACTCATCTGATGGAGTAATTTAAAGATAGTAAAAATAAATTTTTTTCATTTTATAAGGGAATAAGTTAAGGAAATTTGCAAGAATCCAAAAGTTTTGACTAATATGGAATAAATCTAATATTTTCAATGGCAAGGTAAATATGGACAGGAGAAAAGAAAATAGGGTAAATGGACAGTTACTTGGGATGGTTAGGCTCTTCTAGAAGTTGGTGGATACTACAAGGATGGATTAAAAGAGGGTTTATGGACTGAGCCAAATAAGAATTACTGGAGGTAAATTAATTAATTAATTAATAAATAGTAAAGCTTAAGTATACGAAAATGGAGAATATTTTGAAGAGTAAAAATGTGGGAAATGGAAATATATCTATAATAACAACGTTATGTATCAGTATTAAAAAAATGAATTAGTGGTTGTGGATTATATAATGAATAATTTAAGAAGAATGGTAAATGGATTGAGTTGTCGGATAGTTTTTCTGACGATTCAAGAGTTATTTATAATGGCGAATATAAGAATGGGAAAAAAATTGGTAGATGGGATATTTGTTATACAAAATATAGCAGCTATCCATTTTTATATATGTAAAAATATTATATAAATCTTATGGAAAATTTTTCTCAGTGGTGGTGGCTCATATGATGAAAGAGGTGAAGAAATTAAGTTAGGTAAATGGGTGGAGTTATCAGAAGGATTTTTTAAGTGTTCCTAGGTAACAGAAAATGGTGAATATAAAAATGGTAATAAAATTGGTAGATGGGATATATGTTTGATTTGGGGAGAAAATAAGAAGATGTAAAAGAATATTATATGGAGCACATATAATAAACGTTTGTTAGTGGAGGCGGCTCATATGATGAAGAAGGTCACGGAATAAAGACAGGTGATTGGATAGAAATTTCGAATGGATTTTTTGAGTATTCTTAAGTAACATATATTGGTGAATATCAAAATGGAAAAAAGTTTGGTGAATGGGATATTCTATATAAAGACAATTAATAAAATGTGAAAATGTAAATATAATTAGATAAAGGTGTTAATATGCCATTTTTTAGAGGTGGAGGTTCATATGAGGAAGGAGGAATTAAATTTGGTATTTGGATAGAAGTGCAAGATGGATTTAAATGGGATTCTTAAGTAACTTATTATGGAAAATATATAAATGGTCGAAAAGTGGGGAGATGGGATATATGGTATAAAGAAAACAAACAAAATTTGAAGATGTAAACAATATTATTAAAAGATTGCATAACTTGCCTTAGTGGTGGTGGATGTTACGAAGAAGGAAGCAATGAGATTAAGTTAGGTAATTGGGTGCTATTGTATGATGGATTTTTTAGTAAATTTTAAGTAACCTATCATGGAGAATATAAAGATGGGTAAAAAGTAGGTAGATGGGACATTTTTTGGAATTATAAAGGATATAATACTTAGATGTAAAATAAAATTATATAAATACTATGCTTGTTAGTGGGGGTGGATCATATGATGATTAAGGGGATCAACTTAAATTTGGTAGTTGGGTGGAACTATGGGATAGATTTGATTGTTAGACTTAAGTAACTTATATTGGTGAATACAATAATGGTAATAAAGTTAGAAAATGGGATATTTGGTAAAAAGTGAATGAAGAAAATGTGAAGATGTAAAAATATTATTCATAAATTTTTGTTAGCGGAGGTGGAGCATATGATGAAAAAGGGATTAAGTTGGGTAATTGGATGGAAATATCGAATGGATTTAATAGGGATTCTGAAATTACTTATGATGGAAGATATGATAATGGTATCAAAGTTGGTAGATGGGATATTTGGTATTAGGATTGGAGAAAGGAAAAAAATGAAAAGATGTAATAAATATTTTATAAATGTTGGTTTTCAAATAGTGGTGGCGGATTATATTCGGAAGAAGGTGATGGGATTAAATTAGGTAGTTGGATTGAAGTTTCAGATGAATTTGGATATTATAATTAAATAATTTATATTGGGGAATATAAAAATGGTAACAAAGTGGGAAAATGGGTAGAGATGAATATAAGGAGAAATTAAAAATGTAGAGAAATGAATTATGATAATTGAACAATATTGAAAAAAATACCATTATAATATTTAGTGGAAATATATAATTTTTTAATTGGTTTTTATTAATAGACAAATAGTTTGTTTTAAAAAAGAAATTATTGTTTTTAGTTTAATGTGTATCATGTGTATTTTTAGAAATTTGGATAATCTAGTTTTAATATATCATATACAATTTCCACTATATTTATT